AAAAAGAAAAAGAAAGAAAGTTCAATGGCATTGTAGGGAGACGCCTCAAGTGAGTTTTCAACTCTGTCCACACCAGGTGCTTACCTTCTCAAAGCATCTATGTGCTTCTCAGAAAAATGGAGAAAATTGCCATTTACCTCATTGGCTCTCAACCCACACTAAGCATCAGAATTACTGGCGGTGGGAGAAGGAATTACAACGTTGGGTGCAGGCATCTGTGGTTGTTAGAGCTGCCCAGGTGATTCTAATGGGCAGCCAGGGGCCTTTCTCAAGGAGATAATTAAATCAGATAAATTAAGAAAACATGCTCTGAGACCTGTAAAACTCTCTGTATGGTAAATTACTTTCATTATTCAACACCAGAGAAAGGCCAGAAGTTGAACCTCAGTTCCTGCCCTCGCACAGGCAAGATGGCGCTGAAGGCCTGCGGCTGAGTCTCCCACCTCCCAGAAGCCGTCCCCAGCTCCACAGCCTGCCTCCTACATGAACGCCCGCCTCTTCTGCCTGCGGGCACAGCCTGGACATCCATGCTTTTTCGCATATGGGCAGGTAGGACATTAACACTAAATAGTGCTTTATATAAAACACACAAAAAGGCATATCCACATCACAAGGCTGGAGCAGAAAGCCTTCAGGACGGAGACACATCTTCCTGTCCTACCAAAAACCTTCCCCTGAGTATGTCCTAGGGCGTGGGTGTCCCAGGGTTTCTCAGTGGAAGGTCATTCTCAGACTCTCGCGGTTGTTAGGGGAACTGCCTCTGGACATCTATCTCGTGTTTGCTTGGGGGCAACATAGTGGGGGTGAAGGACCGCAGGCTGCCTCATCGGAGTGAATTCTGGGGCTCTAGAAAAGCCCCCTGGCCCACAACATTTCTCTCACTTGCTAGAGAATTCTAGAGTGCATCACTTATTTTATTTTTCTGTTCCTTGATAATGAATAAGAGGCAAATTATTCATGCCAAGCTAAAACATAAGGAGGTATAAATGATAGCAGAGCCTTTCTTGAACATGTAGGGACTGAGTGGGAGTGGAAATGGGGACCTTGGAGCAGGAATTGAAAGATACGAAGAGGAGGATGGGGAGCTTCCAGGGAGCAAACCATGAAGGGAGGCTGGGCGCAGTGGCACACGCCTGTAATCCCAGCACTTTGGGAGGCCGGGGTGAGGTTAGGCATTCGAGACCAGCCTGGCCAACATGGTGAAACCCTGTCTCTACTAAAAATACAAAAATTAGCTGGGTGTGGTGGCAGGTGCCTGTAATCCTAGCTACTCA